TCGCGCCCTCTGCCCAGGTTCCACCCCTGGTGACCTGGAGGGAGGAGTTGGGGGGAGGAACGGGGTGCTGGCACCTCCCCAGGGGCCTGCCCTGCAAACAAGCGCGCGCCTCTCGCTTCCTTCCGACTTGGCGACAGTAGCGCCCACCCGGGGGCAGGAGCGGTGGAGCCCGGGTCGCTGAGGCCATTCGCTGGCGGTCGCTTTTCAAGGACCCGACTTTCAAGGACCCGACGGCTCCGGGCTCAGCCTCAGAGTCTGTGCAGAGAAGCGGGAGACTTGCGCCCCGAATTCGGTGTGGAGCAGGGGGCGCTGCCCGGTAATGTTAGACACATCCCTGGACGTCCCATCCCGAGCCCCGGGTCCTCGGGGGACAAGAGGACTCGGACCACCCACCCGTTTCCCTGTCTCAGGGCCCTTGTGGGAGGAAGCGCTTTGCAAAGTGAGTGGTCGGTGGTACCCATGCGGTTTGGACACCACCAGGCTGCTAAGGTTGGGGGTTGGCGCCAGTCTGTCCGCAGCTCAATCCTGGACTGAGGCGAGCCTCAGTTTCCCCATTTGTTCCTACTTCATACAGGCGTTATGGGTTTTTTTTAATATATATTTTATTGATTTTATTTTATTTTATTTTTTACAGAGAGGAAGGGAGAGGGAGAGGGATAGAGAGTTGGAAACATCGATGAGAGAGAAACACCGATTCAGCTGTCTCCTGCACGCCCCCCACTGGGGATGTGCCCGCAACCCAGGTACATGCCCTTGACCGGAATCGAACCTGGGACCCCTGAGTCCGCAGGCCAATGCTCTATCCGCTGAGCCAAGCCAGCCAGAGCCGTTATGGGGTTTAAATGTGTCGGTGGATGGCCAGCACCTAGCCCAGTGCCTGAGAGACAGTAAGCTCTAAATCGCCGTGGTTGCCACTTTTACCCAAGTAATGTGGGATGATGTGGGAATACTACTACTAATTAGATTTTATTAAAGTAGGAACAGTGGAGTATTTTTAAAAAAATAATATTTTTATTGGTTTCAGAGAGGAAGGGAGAGGTAGAGAGATAGAAACATCCATGAGGAGAGAGAATCATGGATCGGCTGCCTCCTGCACTCCCCACACTGGGGATGGAGCCCGCAACCCGGGCCTGTGCCCTGACCGGGAATCGAACCGAGACCTCCTGGTTCATAGGTCGTCGCTCAACTGCTGAGCCACGCCGGCCGGGCATAATTCTTATTTTTTAGTGCCCAAATGACACTGGCCACTCAGTTTGCTCTCTGCAACCTCCAAGCCTTCAAGCCATCACATTAAAGCAAAAGACGTTACGAACTGTCCTGGTATCTTATAGGATGTCTGCCATCTTGAATCATGTAGCGTTTGGCTCTAAGAGGGGGAAAAAAAACCCCAAAACATGCTGGATTAATCTCTCCCGGGAAAAGATTGAACGACGGGGCTAATGAGGCGAGACAGATGGAGTTCTGAGAGGAAGATGGCAAATTCTGGAGCGAATCTAATGAAAGGGCTGCGTGAACTTTCCGTTGCTGCATAAATAAAATATGACAGTCGGTGTCAGCAAGCGCTTAGCAAATATCTAATCTCATTATTTTCTTCAGCTTCACATAGAAATGTTACTTTTAAAATTTTTTTTAATTTTTTTTTTTTTACAAGTGGCAGTATACTATGACAGACACAGGGCAGGCACCTGCCCACCCTTTATGCCCCCCTCTTCCCTCCAGACTCTTTTCAGATGGCAACACGCCTGTGGCACCGCCAGCTTGAAGGGTGAAGTAAAGTGCTCTCAGGGGAGATAGCAGGCTTTCATCCTGGCTCAGTCCTTCTGGGCTCCCAGGGGTGATGGAAACTAGCTCCGGAGAAGCGGGTAGGGGGTGAGGTTACCAGGTATTCTCAGAGATGCAATAGTTCTTCTAAACTCAAAGCGGCTGTGCCCTGACCCTCTGGGCTTCCTGGGACTTGTATTTAATTGTTTACGCATTTCCAGGCAAATCCTTCAGAAAAAACATGCGGCTAGAAGCGGTGCCCCCAACGTGGGTAGACCAGCTGGCTCGCCCTGGTGGCCTGGCACGGCTCATATCCCTAAGGAAGCACTTACGGAGCCATTGGGGCCTTGTGCCCCCTAAGAGGAGGAGGAGAGCAGTCGGTGAGATTGTCACCATTCACTTCAAGGCGCAGGGAGGTCTCATTCTGGCTCGGGGACACCTGGGGCCGCCCCGAGGTCGCCAGGGGGGCGTGGGAAGAAATTGTGGATTTGCGCCCTGGAGCTGGGCAGCCTGAGCCCTAGGGAGTGTGCCCCTCTTGAAATGGCAGAACCAGGGCTTCTGTGACCTTTCCCTGTCCCTCCTGTGTCCCCGACAAGCCGCAGGGACTTAAGTTATCCGGCTCCGAGGACCCGCCGTTGTGGTAAATGCCAGAGCGATGGCCGTTTGAACTTCCCTGGGCTGTGCGCTTCCTCACGGAGTTAGGATCCACGTGCTTTCTGCTTCCGTAAACCCAGTTCGCCGTGCTCACTGACCATAGGCCAACGTGTTAATGTAAAACTCCTTCTCTCTCCAAAATCAGCAGCTCCGTTGGTCAGGCCGGGAAGGCAGCCCAGATCCTGGGGCTGTTGGTGTTGGGAGGGGCCTTGGCCATCCTCACCGAGTTCTAGGACCGGCATAGTCACGTCTTTTTTAAAAAAAATAATTTTATTTATTTCAGAGAGGAAGGGAGAGGGAGAGAGAGAAACATCAATGATGAGAGAATCATCGATCGCTGCCCCCTGCACGCCACCCACTGGGTATGGAGCCTGCAACCCGGGCATGTGCCCTGACCAGGAGGAATCGAACCGTGACCTCCTGGTTCATAGGTCGACACTCAACCACTGAGCCACACCGGCCGGGCTCTCCCCAGCTTCTCAGCTCTGTCCACGTCAGTGGGCCTTTATTCCATTCTCTCGCCCCAGAGGTGGCCCAATGTGGACATTCCTACCCTTGCTTATCACATGCTGGGATACGCATTCATTTAGCCTGGCACCGGGGATATACATCTGGTGACTACTTTTCCCTTCTTAACCCAGAGCGCTTGCCAGTCTCCGGCTTCAGTGGGACCCTTTGCTCAGCGCCCGCAGAGCGTGTGTTTGTGATCACGTCCCTGAGGTCCCTGAGCCCCGGGCCACACTTGATCTGACCTCATCTGGGGACACAGACATAGTCGAGGTCGCCAGGTGTCCTCAGTCTATCTTGCTGCCTGGTTCTGGCTTCGATTTCTCCTCGGTGATGCTACCACTGCCCTTCCCGACCCGAAGATCACTTTCGCTCGTGGAGGCCAGGGCTGAACATCTGAGCTCTGTAATCCTGCCTCGCCTTCTCTCTTACCTGCTGCCACGGTGCCCCAACCAACCGGCGGGCCCGGGGCCTGATGCTCTGGCCCAGGTTGTTTTGTTTGTTCGAAGCACACCTTTTTGCTGTCCTTAGCGTATTTGTAGAAAGGTGAAACTTATACTGGCCTTTAGTCCTCTTGATACTTAAAAAAATTTTTTTTTAAATATGTTTTTATATTTTTTAGATAGAGAGGTAGGGAGGGGGAGAGAGAGAGAGAAACATCAATGATGAGAGAGTCACGCTGATCGGCTGTCTCCTGCTGGGGATCGAACCCACAATCTGGTCATGTGCCTTGACTGGAATGGAAGCCAGGACCCTTCAGTCCACGGGCCGACGCTCAACCACTGAGGCATGCCAGCGAGGGCCAGTTCCTTCTCCCTTTAAAGACTGTCCAGGAAAATCCCCCAATGTTCTCAGAACACAGCGATGACTTCAGGTGCCCGAAGAACTCGGAAGAGAAACAAAAACGTATTGAGACGCTGTCGCCACTTGTCACAAGCTGCGATGGGCCTTTGAAAAATCCATGCCAGGGATTCTACTGTGTCCTGGGAACAGTCCTTCAAGGGGTGGGGCCTGTGCCCATTGTATAGATGAGCAAACCGAGGCACAGACAGGCATTGTAATTTGCTCAGGACCGCCCAGACGGGATGGACAGAATCAAGCCCCAGCCCTCCTTCGTGTGACCAGACCCCGGCCCTGAATTTCGAGCTGGTCAACCTCCTACGTGTCGGGTGAGATTAGGCATCTGCACGGTAACTTGGGGTGTATCTGCGAACACCCCGTGCTCCAGGGTGACCTCGGTGTCAGCTCAGGAAGGCAGGATGGAAGGAGATGGTGAGAGCTGACATGTAACACCTTGGCTTGGTCTCACCTGATAACGGCTGCTAACAGCAGGGGCTGGCCAGCCCGGGCTCAGAGGGGAGGGAGGGGACGGAAGAACGGTATTTCCGTCCACCCTCCTTGGCCCAGGGACGGGGGTGAGTGGCTGGGGGAGGGGGTCTTCAGTCTGCTGGCAGGGCAGGGGCTCCAGTTGTGGAGGCATTTGATGCCAGCATGTCAGCCGGGGGATGTGCTGAGAGAAGGCGCTATGGACGGGCTCAGAGCACTGGCTCTCTAGGCCCTAGAGTCTCGGGGACCCCCGCCCGGGCTGCGGAAACCGAGGGTCCGGCCTCTGCTGTGAAAACGAGGGCAGACGCGGCAGTTGCTGGGTTGTTGTGAAAGAACAGCTCCGGAGAGGGCTCCTTCTGGCTCATCCATATTTCATGAGGCAGCAGCTGAAACATTCATGAGCGACACCCGCCGTGGCGGCTGCCTCCTGCCCATCCTGGGGGCGCTCAGATGGCGGTCAGATTTTTGCGTCGCTCTTTCCAGGGGAAGAGCAAGACAGTCATGTGTGAGCAGGAATCACACCGTGGAGGGGGCTGGCAGGGGTCTCAAAGCGATCCCTTTCGCATGGCCTCGTGATCTGCTGCCAGACTCCTCCCTGGAGGAAGGGCCCAGGCGGGGCAAGGAGAGGGAGCGGGCATCGGGCGGAGAGTTGGTCAGGGATTGGTCAACAGGGGCATGGGTTGCGGGTCATGTGACATGGCGCTGGACACTGTGTGTGTGTTTACATTGTATGTATGCATGGTACACACACGTGCGTGGTGCATGTATATGTGTGGAGTGTGTGGTATACGCACACACAAGTGTGTTTGTACACACATGGCATGCACACGGGCATGTACACATGTATACGTGTGATGTGTGACATGTATACATGCGCATGCACATGCATGTGTGGCATGTACACATGTGGTGTGCATATGTGCACATAAGAGTGCGGTGTGCACATATCTGTGGTATATTGTATGAACACATGCGCATAAGTATGCATGCATGTATGTATGCGTGTGGTATTTGTATGTGTGCACATGTGGGGTGTGTGTGTGTGTGTGTGTGTGTGTGTGTGCATGTTTTTAATGTAAACTTCCGTTTGGAGGGCCCTGGCGGTGCCGTGTGAGCCAGGCAGTGAGGTGCCCGCGTCGGCTCTCCTGCTTCTGTGAGGCGTCAGCCGTTTCTATTGTTCCTATTCCTGTTGCCTCGCCAGGCGGGGAGCACAGCCCTGGTTTGGGGAGCACGGCCGGCAGGGCCTCTGCCATGCAGGGGGAGATGAGCCGAGGGGCGCACCCCGTGTCGCAGCCCGCTGTCCACGATCTGCCAGCACGCGGGGACGCGGGCCGCTCAGACAATGGAAACTTCCCTGCTGTTCCCTGAGCTGCTGGAGTCAGCGATTGGACCGCGTTTGGCGGATTCGCTGGCGGCCGCTGCAAGGCACCTGCTTTCTGGGCCGACTCCGGCAGGAAAGTGCTGATGCGCCTAAAAGACCAGCAGGCGGGGTGCTCTCGCCCGCAGCAGGGCCAGCTGCTCTGCCGGACGGAAGGCTGGTCACCTTCCCGGATCGTCAGAATCTTCGTCCGGGGTGACCCCTGAGTCCCGAGCCCGCATCTCAGATGCACCCAGAGCTGACCTCAAACCCAGGGGTGTCCTCCAGCCCAGTTCCCACGAGCCTGCGGGATCTGAGGTTGACTTATTTATTTTTAAGTATTGATTTCAAAGAGGAAAGGAGAGGGAGAGAGAGAATCATGGATCGGCTGCCTCCTGCACACCCCTCACTGGGGATGGAGCCCACAACCCGGGCATGTGCCTTGGCAGGGAACGAACCCTGACCTCCTGGTTCGTAGGTTGACGCTCACCACTGAGCCACGCCGGCCGGGCGAGATCTGCGGTTTTACGTGCTGTTTCCTCTCTTCCCAGGTAGCCAGGATTGCTTGCCACCTGCGGCATCTTTTCAGAGACGGCGGCTGGCACGGAAACCGGCTACATGAGACGCGAGGCCGGGCCCCTGATCAGGTTGCTCTCCGCTGCCGGGGGCGCCTCATCCCGGGCCCAGGGCGGGGCGTGCGGTGAGGAGCCCCGTCAGTCGGAGTCCAGACTCAGACAGCGTGGCCTTGACCCCGGAGGCCCGTGGCGAGGTCCCGAGTTTGGGAGCCCACTTCCCACGATCGCAGCAGCCTCAACTCTCGCCCCTGGGGGCCCCCGAGGCCCAGTGCAGACCCCGGCAAGAGGGGCCCCAGGCTTCTCTGGAACTCAGTTCAGAGCTGGCAGTGGATTGCCCGCCAGGCTGCCCAGGGGGTGCGGCCCTGGGGACGCTGGGTGTCGGGAGGCAGCTCCCACCCATGGACAGTCCTGAGGCCCCAGGTCCTCGCCGGGATGCCACCTGCGGGGAAGGAGCGAGGGGCACCCGGACAAAAGGCCGCCCAGCCCCCGAGGAGGGGAGTGGCCCCAGCTGCAGCCTTGGGAGTGGCCCCCAGACCTCCTCGGCCCCCGCCAGCCCCCCGCCGGCCTTCACCTCCAGCTTCAGCTTCATCCGGCTCTCGCTTGGTTCGGCCGGGGAACGCGGAGAAGCGGAGGGCTGCCCGCCGGCCAGGGAGGCCGAGGACACGGGGACCAGAGCTGCCAGCCCGGATGGGCCCTGCCAGGACCCTGGACGTCTCTCTCCCCGCTTTGGTCTCAAGGCAGCTCAGGGCCCCACTGCCCGCCGGCCAGGGAGGCCGAGGACACGGGGGCCAGAGCTGCCAGCTCAGATGGACACCACCAGGACCCTGGACGTCTTTCTACCCACTTTGATCTCAAGGCAGCTCGGGGCCCCACGGACTCCGCCTGGACCCCAGCGGGCAGCCCCCGGCTGCAGGGTGAGCCACTCTCTGTACTGGACACAGACACCGCCTCCTCCTGCTCCCCGGATCCCCCAGGGTGCGAGGGGGCTGCTAGCCGCTGGGACCCGCTGCTCCGGAAGTGCGAACCCCTGCTGCAGGGGTGTCTGCTCAGCCACCGCCGACGGCTGGAGGTGGGTGTCCCCAGCCCCGGGCCATGGGTCACCAGCTCCGATGAGCTCCGGGCAGAGGGCAGGAAGCAGGCGGTTCTGGGGGTGACCGACTTCCCCCGAAGCTGCAGGAGACGCTGCTGCATGCCCGTCTCCTGCTTCTCCTTTTCCCTCTGAACACAGATCTGTTCTCCTTTCAGCTTCTCTGTCATGGAGGAGCTCAGATTTGCTGTCTGTTGGGCCAAGGGCTCCCCTGCCAATCCAGGCCCAGGTGATGCATGGTTAGTGCAGCCCAGCTCGGCTACCAGACAGGAACCAGCCAGGGAGAGGGGACGGGCTGGGAGCAGGGGACGGAGTCGGCCGTGTGGGGGCTGAGAGTTACAGAGTGGTGATGCCCGTGTTGGGCTCCACCCTCCTACAGTGGGATCTGCCTGCCAGAGGGCATTTCCTCGACTTAAACCCCTCAACTTCCTTGTTATTTTATTTATTTTTATTTTTTAAATTGATTTCAGAGAGGAAGGGAGAGAGAGAGAGAAACATCAATGATGAGAATCATTAATCAGCTGCCTCCTGCACTCCCCACACTGGGGATGGAGCCTACAACCCGGGCATGTGCCCTGACTGGGAATTGAACCATGACCTCCTGGTTCATGGATTGACATGCAACCCCTGAGGCACAGCGACCAGGCTTGCAAGAGATTCCTGACATATTACCTTCCTCCAGTTCACCCACTGCATGACCAGCAGAGCTGTGTTCCTGGGCGGTGGTGGGAGAGGGATAGTCCTTGGTTCAGAACCTTTGGGGCTCCTTGCTCCCGGGGACAGCATCCAAGTTCCTTATCCTGATCATCGCTGCCTTTCCTCTTCCCCCTCCCCCCCAGCCTGCCCGGGGGTGCCTTCCTCCTGCTGGGCCATCTGGTGCTGCTTCCTGTCGGCAGACCCCGGGCAGCTGCGCCTCAGACCTTTGCTCACAGTTTTCCCTCTGCCTGGAATTTCCTTCCTGCACCTTCCCACCTGCCCGGCTTCTGTGTATCCTTTCTGGGGGCTCCGCAGCCACTTCCCCGTGTGACATTTCCTGCCCTCTCTGCACCGAGTGTGTCCCCCCCACTTCCATTTTGTTCCCAAAACACTTTGGGCATGTCCCTGTTACAGCACTCACCACATCCAGTGATGATTTTAAAAAATATATTTTTATTGATTTCAGAGAGGAAGGGGGAGGGAGAGAGAGAGGAAGAAAGAGAGAGAGAGAGAGACATCAATGATGAGAGAGAATCACTGATCGGCTGCCTCCTGCACGCCCCCTACTGGGGATTCAGCATGCAACCCGGGCATGTGTCCTGACCCGGAATCGAACCCTGACCTCCTGGTTCATAGGTCGATGCTCAACCCCTGAGCCGCACTGGCCGGCCTGGCCACCTTCCTAATTTTAATCTGATTTTTTTTTTTTAGAATGGAGACCGTTAGGTCAGGTGAGGACATTTGTGTCCTTTTCATGATGCATGTTTCATGTAGCTGAGGCTACCGTGGGATGTTTTTGTTTAAAATGACCTTTTAACTCTGTGGAGTTTATGCTCACATGACACTTTTTGTTTATGTACCTTTTTTTGGTGTCAGAAAGGAATTCATCTGGCGCTGGAAAAATGTACATGCATGGTTCCTTTCTTCCAGGCGATTGAAGACCTTCAGTTGTGCAATAGCTTCTGAATGTTCGCCGTGTTAGGAGGATAAGCTGGCTTGAATGCCGTTGTAATCTCGTTTTCCTTTTCTCTCCCCCAAAACAACATAGGTGAACGCCTTAAGGCTGAAGCTTCAGAAACTCCAGGAGAAAGCAGTTGAGGAGGAGGATTACGATAAGGGTGAGTTTGACTTGTTTATCGGCTGTTTCTTTTTTCCAGAATGTTCCATCTCTCACTCCCTTCCCACCCAGATCTGCCTTCCGCCCCCTGATGAACTGGGCATTCACTCCCTCCAGACCAGTGGTTCTTAATCAACCTTCTGGCCCTTTAAATACAGTTCCTCATGTTGTGACCCAACCATAAAATTATTTTCGTTGCTTCTTCATCACTGTCGTGTTGCTACTGTGATGAGCCCGAGCGATGTGGCTCCTTATTTCCTATTTGCCAAGAAGAAGTTCGTTTGCATGCAGCCTGACTCCTCTCAAGCTGCAAAAAGTGCGGGGCGTGAGGTGAAGCATATCGATTAAAGCGTGCAAATCACAATGAAGCATTGGCAGCTCGGCCGGCCGCGCCCCCTCTCCCGAGGGCACCCTGGTTTTCTTCCCTGTGGTCTGAATGTCATGACCCTGAGTCTCTTGTTCCCGGCCTCATTTTCGGTTGCACGACATTGGGTGACATTGAGAAAATGGAACTGAAACTCTGTGTGGGCTCTGAAGGGATTGACTATCCGGATTTTGAGAGTAGATGGGAAAAAATGGAAAGGAGAAAAAAGGAGGCATAAAGTAGGGAGCTAAGGACAAGAGCGAAGAGGAAGAGATTGGAGAGGTTGGTTCTCTGTCCGGGTCATTTTTCTTTGAAAAAAACAAAGTTTTATTGATTTTAGAGAGAGGAAGGGAGAGGGAGAGAGAGAGAGAGAAACATCAACGATGAGGGAGAATCATTCATCAGCTGCCTCCTGCACACCCCCCACTGGGGATCGCACCCACCACCCAGTCATGCCCTGACCGGGAATCGAACCCTGACCTCCTGGTTCATAGGTCGATGCTCAACCACTGAGCCACGCCGGCTGGGTATGTCTGGGTCATGTTTCTGCGTGCGTCTGCTGCTCTGTGACCTGTGCCCTCGTGAGCAGAGGGGGTTCAGGGTCAGTTCCCATGCCATTCAAGAGCATGGCGCCCGTGTCCTCTGCATCCGCGGCAATGACACGGTGCCGCCGCCGCCCCGTGGGCCCCCCTTGCTCGGCATGCCTCGCTGGGCAGCTAATTTGTTTTTATAAGTGGTTCCGCCACTTAATTAAATCTCGCATCCTGTCTGATAGAACTCGGACAGCATCTCTACCAGCAACACACTCTGCACGACAGAGTGTCACAGCCAAGGGGTCCCCTGATGGCTGCTGTCCCGGGGACCTTCCGCACGCGGCTCTCTGCCCGCGGCCCCTGCACATGCTCACGTCACTGCCCCTGCGTGTGCATCAGCTGTGGAGGCCCTGTCTTCCCCAGGCGACGCCTGACCCACTTCCTGAAAAAAAAAGTTATCTGGGAAAATGGGACTGTGTCCTGTGAGAGTTGGAAACAGAGACCCTGACTGTCTATAGATATTTGAGGGGGACCAAGGTCTTGAGTTGGAAGGAGGCAGACACCTGCAGAACTCAAGGGCGTCCCATGGGCCGTGGGTAGAAGTCACAGGAGGAATTGCTCGCTCTCCCCTGGTGCTGGTGGTGGGGGGTCTGGACCAGGAGTCTTTAAAAAAAAAAAAAATGGCCCTGATCGGTCTGGCTCGGTGGATGGAGCCGGGAATTGTTCGCTCTCCCCTGGTGCTGGTGGTGGTGGGTCTGGACCAGGAGTCTTTAAAAAAAAAATAGCCCTGATCGGTCTGGCTCAGTGGATGGAGCGCCGGCCTGCGGACTGAAGGGTCCCAGGTTCGATTCCGGTCAAGGGCATGTACCTTGGTTGCGGGCACATCCCCAGTGAGGGGTGTGCAGGAGACAGCTGATCAATGTTTCTCTCTCATTGATGTTTCTAACTCTCTATCCCTCTCCCTTCCTCTCTGTGGAAAATCAATTATATATATATGTTTGTGTGTGTGTGTGTGTGTGTGTGTGTGTGTGTGCATATCTCTATATTTTTGGTATTTATAAATATATTTTTATTGATTTTAGAGACAAGGGGTGGAGGGAGGGAGAGGAAGAGAGAGAGAAAGAAGCATCAGTGATGAGAGAGACTTACTGATCGGCTGCTGGGGCTTGAGCCCACAACCCAGGGCATGTTCCCTGACCGGGAATCAAACTGGGACCTCCTGGTTCTAGGTCGACACTGAACCCTGACCTCCTGGTTCATAGGTCGGACTCGATCCCCAGTGGGGGCCATGTGGGAGGCGGCCGATCCACGATTCTCCCTCATCATTGATGTTTCTCTCTCTCTCTCTCTCTCTCTCTCTTTCTCTCTCTCTCTCCCTCTCCCTTCCTCTCTGAAGTCAGTAAAATCAATAAAAAACGAAAACGTACGGGGGTGACAGGGTGACAGAATCAGATAGGTCCCAGGTCTCCTAGCGGCAGCTGGAATACCCCAAGCGCCTCGCCTCACGCCTTTGACAGGCGACAGGGACCGGAGAGCCCCCGGCAGAGGGGACGCTGTGACATCCCACAGTGGACACGCGGGGCTGCTTCCACTCACGGCAGCGTGCTGGGCGGAATGACCTTTATCAAAGGCTGGCGACAGTGATGTAGCAGAAGGGACAGCTTTCCACTTGACCTTTACGGCGCGTCCACTTGTCTCCCGGGGAAATAAGTCACCGCCGACCGGCTCCGTGGGGCCCGGCGGACGCTTGCTGTCTGGGAGGAGAGGACCGAGCAGCCCCTGAGCTCTGCAGTGAGATGACTGTCATGTCCCCACAGGCGGCTTGGAAATGACCACTACCCGGTCACTGCCAGGACATGTGGCGGAATTATTATTATTGTTTTTGTTAATCCTCACCCCAGGATGTTTTTCTATTGATTTTTAAAGAGATGCCCTAACCGGTTTGGCTCGGTGGATAGAGCATCGGCCTGCGGACTGAAGGGTCCCGGGTTCGATTCCGGTCAAGGGCATGTACCTGGGTTGCGGGCACATCCCCAGTGGCGGGGGTGCAGGAGGCAGCTGATCGATGTCTCTCTCTCATCGATGTTTCTAACTCTCTATGAGGAAGGGAGAGCGAGAGGGAGATAGAAACATCAATAATCAGATTCATTGATTGGCTGCCTCCTGCATGCCCCCTCCTGGGGATGTGCCCTGACTAGGAATCAAACCCTGACCTCATGGCTCATAGGTTGAAGCTCAACCACTGAGCCTCGCTGGCTGAGCAAGACAGGTCTTTTAACTTGTCCTTATCTTTGAGCACTTTCATACCTTCTGGCTCAAGAAGATATTCCTGCCTTAACTGGTACCCTCCTTGCCCTGATCCAGGATCC